ATTATAACTTTATATATCATAATTTTTTTAGATAGATTTTAATTTCATTAAAAATAAGAAAAAATGTGAAAAGGAAAATAAAAGATATTCATTCTCGCGTTCGGGAAGGTCTTAATTTTTACCATACTACTTAATTATTAGGCATATATGCTATTATTTAACTATTTCTTAGATAAAGGCTCTCAAAAGAAAAATTGTGAAATAGCTATTCTTTATCTTGTGGCGCATGAAGGTATGCGAGCGTAAGCGGTCTGTTTGTTTGGATGTTGAGAAAAAAAAAGGGAACTAAGTAAGCACTCTCATAAAAATATAGTTTCGAAATAAAAATAAAATAGGGAAAAACTAAGACGCAATACTAAACTAGAGATAGGCTAAAGATAATGTATGAATCATATATTTATAATAAAGAAGGAGAATTTTATCGGGATGTAACACTGTATACGGTTTGCAGTGACAAGACCGAATGTCATTTTTGACCGATTCAGTAATATTCCCACATACGGTCGAAACCGTATCGTGTGAACGCGTCCATATAAAATGTATTGCCATTGTAGAGCACGGCAATAATACCGATTTGGTGAAATTACCGAAACCGTCAAAAAACCGTAACGTGTGAACGGGCTATTACTGTGATATTTCGACGAAATTTTTCTATCCAATCAGATCGAGGTAGTGTCACGTCCGTAACATTTCCATTTTGTCCAGTAATTATTTTTCCGAACAGACTCATTTGCAGACCCGAATGTACGAACATCTCCAGAACGCACCTGACGCGTCTCTCCCACCACAAATAACTAGCAACGCGATAATGGAGGGGTTTTAGGAACGCCCTTGGACAAAATAGTAGTAGAGCAGTAGCGCGCGTCGAGCAGTGCAGACACGCTCCCTTTTTCTTCCGACCTACCAGTCACTGTTCGCTGGTCTAGAACACCGCACGCGAAGGAAAACCCGAATAAGTGTAACCCGCGGAACTTTTCCTATTTCCGTTTCTTTTTTCATTGCAAATTCAACTCAAATTCTAGACTTAAGAAATTTTAAACCTAAGACTAGACTTTAGTTTTTCCTTTTTTTTTATATACACATATATATTTTATTCTTAAATATAACTCATAAGTCTAACATTGTCTTGAGTGAACTATAATTAATAAACTCTTATTAACTGAATTCGAGTGAACTCTTTCGACGAAAATCCTCTTTAATCGCTCCTATACATCCAATTCATGCTAGTGATAATTAGCGAACTTAGACTATTGCACACACAAGCGCTACGCATTACGAGGACGAATCCGACGCCACATCCAGGACAACGAAAGGTCTGGGAGCCCACCCGCTAGCCAATCCGCGTGCCGCAGCCACCGACAATATTCATCGTAAGGTAAGACATCACCTCACCACATTTCGGCTACCGTGACCGCGAATTCCGCCCCCGCGTAGCATGTGCCCGCCTGATCCGCTCTCGCGTCCACCTATCGACATTCGCTTATTAGGAATTAGCCCGTACACAGCATGGATACGTAGTGCATGTTGCGTGTCTTCATTGTTCTTTCGCCACACAGGAAATAGCGAGATTAAATGCCCAGAATGCTACTCTTCTTTGCCTGTTCATGTGTTACGTCCGCTCAATAATGAATTCATTAAATTCATCATCTTACTAGATATTTCTCTCTCTAAATTCCCGAGCACACTGATTGGTGCTCCGAGAGCGACGTAACGCCGCTTCAATACGAAAACGACCTCGGGTCGTCGCGCGGAGAACCTGCCTTAAGGTGGGTGCCCTTCCCGTTGCGCAACAGCACACGGGGAGGGGGCGTGGGACGCCTAATCCTTTGGGACCAAGGCTTCCCACGCTCTCTTGTGTTTCGAACTTCCAACTGTGCGGGTCAATGTGTCGACAGCTCCCGCTGAGATATACAAAACTTAAGCCACGTGCAGTTCTGTAAATCTTACAAAATCCGACTCGATCCTCTGCATCCTCCTTTGTAACTTTTAGTAAGCTTCCTCAACACTTTGTAAACTTAATTAAGAAACATTAGACAAATATTAACGGGTGCCAAAATATATATATTTCCAAACTTTAGCGTAATCGGGGAGAAGTTCCTAGTTAATAATTCTTAGCGTTAGCGTGGTCCGATCGCAGGACGTGAGTAATTCATATTCCACAACTCATAGTTAACCTTAACACTCTACTTGTAGAATTAATTGACCTCCATATGTAAAGAAACAGTTATTAGCAAACAATTTATTATAAGGATCAGGTGTTAACCATCTTAATGAAAATATACATAATAGTAATTGTAAAAACTTAGAGTCATTTCCTTACTGAGCCTTCCCATATCTCTCTCTCCCAAACCTAGTGTGAATTTTGTAATATAAAAAGGCCATCGAGAACGCTGAGTCACACCACGTGGCCACCTGGAACGCCGAGTCACGCCACGTGGCCAACTAGAACGCCGAGGCACGCCACTTGGGACACCAAGCTGTGCCACCCGTCGGATCGCCCCTCTTTTCCCCCTCTTGGGAGCGGGTCGACTCAACGTAAGGTGAAGTATAACCTTATTCCACGTGTTCGCGCCAACGAGTGCCGCCATATCTAGGCAAGTGAGTGGGTCATCGTGCCACCGCGTGACGCATCTGGACTCCGCATAATTGGAGTACATCGCGCGGGTTACTTCACGCGACCATAGTATGTGCCCTGGCATCCTAAAAACCAAATGCGCAGTGCGATATCGTTGGTAGCGA